TTGAGAGAGATATGAAATTAATCCCTCCCTATACTCTACCATGTTTCCTCAACTATCTCTCTTACACTCTTTGTTAAATTACAAAAACTTACACTACCCATCAATTTTAATTTCATTTTTCGTTTCATTTAATTTTTGGAAGTGTTATCTGATGAACCGGCGTCCTTTAAAAAGGACTCTGGTGAAATAAATTATTATAATGTTACCTTAAAGTGGTCTGTATTTATTTTAAATATATATATATATATATATATATATATATATATATATATATATATGAAGAAATATAGTCTTAAGGTGTACTATGACGATTGCATCTAGCATGAAACAGTCTGTCTAAGTGTTGACTTCAATATTCACTTATATATATATATATATATATATATATATATATATATATATATATATATATATATATACATATATACACTTATTCTTAATAGAAATCTTATGAGTATAAGAAACTATACTCAGTCGGAAAACCTTCGGTATATTGATTTGCAAATAAACAAAGGGAAAACACCAGCCTTCCCTGACGATCCGCTTAGGTGAAACCTTGGTAGGTTTGTCTGGCTCTCTAGATTTAGCTATATATATATATATATATATATATATATATATATATATATATGATGAAATTTCTCCGATTTAACCAGAGAGATAGTTAAATCGGAGAAATTTTCATATTTGTCGACATGGAAAACAAAAAACTTGTTCATTTAATTTCATTTTTTCGCATTTTTGCCTTGATAAAGTCCACATTTTTATATATATATATATATATATATATATATATATATATATATATATATATATATATATATATACACACACACACACACATATATATATATATGTAATTTTTATATATATTATTTATATATCATATATGCGTGGTACTTATTGGAAAGCCCTCAATATCAGTGAGAGAGCTAACATATATAGTTAAATTGATGTGTCTTTCTAACCCTGGGTTTCATGCTCTTTGCGATCGTCAGAGTTTGTCTGACGATCGCAAAGAGCGTGAAACCCAGGGTCACAAACTCACATCAGTCCAACTATATATATATATGTGTGTGTGTGTGTGTGTGTGTGTGTGTGTGCACGTGTGTGTGTGTGAAGTCTCGAAAAATTAAACAAAGCAAAACCAGGATCGTTCTTTTACGATGGAATAGACAGTCTAGCTGAAACATTGTTTATTTTGGTTATAACAGAATTTACATATGCATCGTCTAATTTCTATGAATAATAGAAGGTACGTCTAAATCGATATAACTTACTTGGCTTATATGTTTTTTTTATGTTTCTATAAAAAAAATCTAATACATTTTCATCTAAATTCTGTCTACACTACTGATTCTCGGTAGGCAAGCACATTAAATAAAAATATTTTATAAAAATATTTAATAAAAATAAAAATGGAGCTGCTTAAAATCATTTAAAAATAAATAAATATTACTAACGCTTCCTACTGAAAATTTGTTAAAAATAAGATTGAAATTCAAAACTTCACAAAGGTTTTCACTTCCTCAAAATTTTTTCTTCATGACACGACATTGCCTGAAGCGTCGAAATGGCACACTGAGACGACCATTATAGAGTTTTGTCCCTTCGCCGCAGAGGCCATTATCGATAGCTTTTCGTCCTGTCATGTTCTCCATTTCAGAACAAGCAAATAAACATATAAATAAATAAGCAAGCAGCAACAATAAATGAAATGAAGTCATTAATGTTGAATACAAAACACGAAAAGAGAAAATTGGAGAAGTTCACTTAACGTTTTGCCTCTTCCTGGCAAAATACGGCTCAGTAGTGAAATATCATTAAACGCAGACGACACTTTATGTGATATACTTCTGCTTATGAAAGCCGAAAATTACTCAGACATCGGATAATTTATATTTAGATTCTCAACGGAAGTAAAGAAAAATTATCCGAAATATATATATATATATATATATATATATATATATATATATATATATATATATATATAAATTAATAAAAAGAAATTTCGTTGGTCTTCAAACCAAAATTGTATAAAATAATATTGCTATCCAAATACACCCATTTTTGTATGAGTTTGTGTGTATGCATGTGCGTGCATCGATTAAACACGCACATACACGCACACACATTCTCTCTCGCTCTTTGGCTCTCACGCACACACATATATATATATATTGTACACAGATTTTTCAGGATGTGTGAGATAACCTGGGTAAATTATGGAGGATCCTAAGTGACATAACTTAATATCTAATGATATTTAGTGAGTAGGTGTTGTTGATTTTTATAATGTAATTAATATTAAGTTTTTAGAAAAAAATAACGACATGTTTTGTTCATATATATTGAAAAATAAAATACTTACATTTGCCTTGATAAAGTCCAGGAGTGATAGAAGTTGAAATATTAGTGGTACATGCCTTACTAATTAACCCAGAGGTGGCTTAATAATTTCCCAAGGGTATTTGCGCGTAAGTGAATATAACGAACCCAACAAGAATTGGAACTCGGTTCTACGATTAACAATTCCGAGCCATTATCTATTTACACCAACCGCACACTCAAGCTTATAGCACCTGATATCCAGAAGAGAATTACCTATCTAGCTACTGACCAGGATTGACGTTGCTTAACCTCAGTGATCGTACGGGAACCATTGTTTCCACGTAATATGGCCATAAGCGAGGACACGGTTTAGGAGAGACTAGTGAGGATACCCGGTGTTGCTCGGAAGATCTCTGAATAATTGTTTATTATTGACAATTTATTGATATTTTTCAGACATCTTATGGAAAAATATTTTTTATTTAATCTTTAAAAAATAAACTTTGTTTTTTTGTATGTTACAAAATAACTAAATTTAGAAAAATACCACACTACAAATACCACACTACAAATACCACACTACAAATACCACACTCGGGGCGGGGGTCCTAGAGGGCATCCCCATATTTTTATTAAAAAAGACACTTCATTTTTCGATTTAAATATTAACATAAATACTCTGTTAATGTTGTTTTCAAACAAATCGAATCGATTTATCTAAATTCGTTAACCTTTTTTCAAATTATTATTAATACAAAAGTAAATAAACTTAAATTAAGATATATATATATATATATATATATATATATATATATAAACATATTTAATTTAATCATTTTTTCAATCAAAAACTATAGCGAGCCTTACTTCTTCGAAAAATAATTATTTACTATTTATTTTGGAGGGGAATTTAGATTTTTTTTTAAGTAATTAAAGATTACATTAGTGATTATTTTCTTTTTAAAGAAGGTGAAAGAAGCAAATATTTTTCCGTAAATGAATTTAATTACTATTTCGAAAGAGAGTAGAAGATACATTGAGAATTTAGTTTTGAAAATCGATTATGTTTAAATTTCAAGTTATATTTCAATTTGAAAAGAAAAGAAAAACTTTAGTTAAATGAAAATTATGAGACAGAGTCGTGTTAAATATTCGTTTTACGAATTTAACTATATTTTATTTAAATTAATTTTCGAAAAAATAAGGGTCGCTATAGTTTTGCTTTCATAAAACTTAATTTAAAATTATTTACTTTTTATGTTAGTTATAAACAAAAAAAACAAATAAAACAATGAAGTTTATTTTTTTAAAAGATTGAATAAAAACATTATTTTCCATAAGAAGGCCAAAAAATATTAATAAAATTAGATTCCTTTTAAATTTACTTTGTTGTTTTAATATTTTTTTTAAGTTACGCTTTTATTTACTATAGATATAGAAATAAATTCAAGAGAGTATAGCATTTCGAAATTATCAGCAGAATTAAAAAGTAAAAACGAACGGGAATAAGACTTATTCCCGTTCGTTTTTACTTTTTAATTCTGAGAATTACGAGTGCATAATTATTATGTATTTTCAATTTTAAAATATCTTCGTAAATATAAATCATACGATGATAATTTTTTACAAAAAGGTGTGCTGAGTGATACTGAGTCTGTATATATTTATTTTGTATATATTTATTACACACACACACACACACATACACACACATACACACACACAGTCAAGTGCCCTTTATACATGTATAGATAACAAAAAAGACAAAATTTATTAAGAGCTACAAAGAACAGGAAATTGTTGAGAGCCATGTTTGCCAACGTCCTGAAGGGAGACGGCGCATAGAAAAAAAGAATATTTATCTAAGTCTGTTCATTATCTATCTATCTATCTATCTATCTATCTATCTATCTATCTATCTATATCTTACTCTGGTCATTATCTATCTATCTATCTATCTATCTATATCTTACTCTGGTCAATATTATCTATCTATCTATCTATCTATCTATCTATCTATCTATCTATCTATCTATCTTACTCTGGTCATTATCTATCTATCTATCTATCTATCTATCTATCTATCTATATCTTACTCTGGTCATTATCTATCTATCTATCTATCTATATCTTACTCTGGTCATTATCTATCTATCTATCTATCTATCTATCTATCTATCTATTCATCTATCTATCTATCTTACTCTGGTCATTATCTATCTATCTATCTATCTATCTATCTATCTATCTATCTATCTATCTATCTATCTATCTATCTATGTTCATTATCTTAGTTCGTTTTATATCAACGTATTTGTTTTATATTTATGTATCTCCCCTAATTTTCAGTCGAGCACTCCCATCGCCATTATTTTTTTAAAAAAAGGAACGTTTTTTCTTTGATTCATATTTTGCTCCATTTGTACCAATTCCAAGTTTGGGTAAAGCAATACAAATTAAAAAAAAAACTTTGCTTTCTTTTGCTTCTCTCTTTCAATCTTTTATCATTCTCCAAAAACAATACAGAGAGAAAGATAGGAGGAGGGGAGAGAGACTGGAGAGGGAGAGAGAGAGAGAGAGAGAGAGAGAGAGAGAGAGAGAGAGAGGGGGAAGGGAGAAAGAGAGAGTGGGACAGAGAGAATGGGGAATGAAAGTAGGAAGAAAAATCAAAAAGAAAAAGAAAAGAACAAAATTAAAAATAATGTTTGTGAATGACAGAGAAAGAGAAGGAGAGAAGGAGAGTTAGAAGAAAAACAGTAAGAAAGAGAAAAGAAAGGAAAAAAATAATGTGTGAGAAAGAGAAAAATAATAAGAGTAACAAGGAAAATAGAAATAACGAAAAAGAAAATTATTGTATCCTTATAAAGGTTACAAACAAACAAAGGTGCTAGACGAGTGGAAGGAACAGCAACACGGGCGTAGATGAAAGAAAGAGAGGTTTAGTGTAAAGAGAATACACTATTGAAAGACGGGTAATCGACTAACACTTCTCGAAGCCAGTCAGAACTTCCTCTTTACCATTGGAATACGAAGGGAATGAGAATAAGCCTGCTGTATCCTTAAAAGGTTACAAACAGACAAAGGTGGTACTCGAGTGAAAGGAACAGCAACACGGGCGTAGATGAAAGAAAGAGAGGTTTATTGTAAAAGAGAATACACTAATGAAAGACAGAGAATTAGTTAGCAGGCTAGCACTACCCGAAACAAATTTCAGGTATGTCCTGTGCACACTATATATATATTTACTGATATAGTCAGTCCACAGTAGGCAGTAGAGAGAGTGAAACATTCCATTACAACAGAGTCGATCCTGTGTACGTGGCATATCGGGCCCTAGCTATGAAGGTCTGAGATATAGCTACTAAGGAAGGTAGCTTGTTTGAACATTTCCCTTGAAAATAGCGATCGAGTAGTGAAAGCCTAGGAACATTTCGTCTGTGGGAAAGGGACAGGAATGTGGAGATTAATTACCTACAAAGGCTGTTAACAGGAATCACTCGAAAATATGAGATTAATTCTTATCCAAAGCTGAAATTGACTGCAAAGACAGGTAATCGACTAACACTTCCCGAAGCCAGTCAGACAGATAGACATACAAACAGACTAAGGTATGTCCTACATATATTACTGATATAATCAGTCCACAAGAGGTAATAGGAAGAGTGGAACAATCCATTACAACACCTCCTGCCCCCGAGCTAATTTTCCCATGAAATTTTGCTCAATACCATTTCTTGGGGGGGGGGCAGGACATAACTGTGTTACTTTTTTCCTCTTCCTAGTACTTTTCCGTCTTCCCTGAACAACGCTATATATCACAGTATTTATCACTTTCTTGCAGAAAGAAAAACACCATATTTAGACAAAAATGACTCAAAAATGCATCAGGCTATTTGTTGTATCCTTAAAAAGGTTACAAACAGGCAAATGTGGTAATAGAGTGAAAGGAACAGCAAGACGGGCGTAGATGGAAGAAAGAGAAGTTTATTGTAAAAGAGAATACACTACTGAAAGACAGGGAGTTGACTAACACTTCCCAAAGCCAGTCAGACAGATAGACAGACAGACAGACTCTGCTATGTCCTGTGCACACTACATATATTACTGATATAGTCAGTCTACAATAGGTAATAGGGAGAGTGGAACATTCCATTACAACAAAAATGAAGATAATAAGTAATTAAAAATAGAGAGAGAGAGAGAGAGAGAGAGAGAGAGAGAGAGAGAGAGAGAGAGAAATAAAAATAATGAGAGTGAGAAGGAAAACAAAAAGAAAAGATCAAATAAAGAAAATAAGATCATGAATTGAAAATAAAATTGCAACAGCCTCAAAATCGATGCCGATAATCGAATAAATAGACAAAAATTGAACGGGGCGTAAGACAAGGGTGGGTCTTCTTTGTTTATCCTATACGTCGATCCGATCCTAAGTGAACGAGAAGTCCTACAAGGATTTATTATTGGTGGACAAAATCTTGACAACAGAAGATACGCAAATGTCACCGTGTTGATAGCAGGTCCAGAAAAAAAAATCTGCAAGAGACAAGGTAATAAATAAAAGCGGGAAAATGGACTAATCGTCAGTTTTAAAGAGACAGAATGTATGTTTGTTAGCAAAAGAAAACGTTCAAATGTCAAGCTACGAATTGGAGACGTCAGATTCAAAGAAGTACAAATATTTAATTATCTGAGAAGTGTTATAACAGAAGACAAAAACAACGACACAGAAATCCGAAGGCACGTTAGGGTAGCTAAATCAAACATTATGAAACTGGAAAATTAACTAGAATCATAGGAAAAACTGTGAACTGTTTAGTATCAATCCTCCTATATAGCCGTGGTTGCTTGACAATTTCTTCATTACTGAAAAGAAAACTATATGCAACAGTTTTATGCTAATAGTTTCTTTTCTCGCACTTCTTGTATGTGGAACTCTCTTCCGACTTCTTGTATTCCAGTCAACTTTGATCCTCAAAAAGTTTAAATGCAACGTCAATCGTCATCTGTCTTCTTGAATCCTGTTCTTTTATTGTCCTTTCTTCCCAGTGACATTTCTTCAGTTTCCTTCTTGCTTTCCTGCCAACTACGATCTTTAAAAAATTTAAATGCAACAACAATCGTCATCTATCTCCTTGAATCCTGTTTTTTTTCCTGTCCTCTCTCCTCAGTAACGTTTCTTCAGTTTCCTTCCTGTTCTCCTGTCAACTACTATTTTCAGAAATTTAAACGCAAGGTCAATCGTCAATTGTCTCCCTCAACCCTGTTCTTTTTATTGTTCTTTCTCCTCAGTAAGATTTCTTCAGTTTCCTTCTTGCTTTCCTGTCAACTACGATCTTCAAAAATTTAAATGCAACGTCAATCGTCATCTGTCTCCTTGAACCCTGTTCTTTTATTGCTTTTTCCGTTTCTTTAACGTTCAGTAACCCTTTGCATCTTAGTGAATTTTATTGCCCTGTGAAATGATTTAAAAAAAAAAAATAACCAAATCCCAATTTTTTTCTTTTTCTTCAGCATGATTCAACACTTGTTGCTTTTATGCTTTCTTTGAACGTCTTCAACCACATGATAGTTCCATATGCTTCTTGCATTATGGTCGAGCTACACAAGCAAGCAGGAAACTCCCATTTTATGCAGGTTTTGTACAAGAATTCCACACCGGAGGACACATTACACGTCCTTAAAATACCAACTGAGCATTTCTCTCCGTTTAGCCTCTCTTATACGGCTTTCTGCATTTTATATTAGCAAATATTTGCTTTTTTTTCTACCTATATATATATATATATATATATATATATATATATATATATATATATATATATATATATACGTTACAAATTAAACTAAACACAGCTATTAAAGGATTTAAAAATTTTCACAGATTTTGACGTCATTCTGGGGTCTTTTTTGTTCAAATCTGTTAATTTAATTTGCTAATGCTAAGTGTCGAACAAACAAACATACATAATTCACTAATTTTATCCGTAATGTTGAATGTGTTAAAATTATTCAACTTTTTAACAAAATAATCTGAAAATGATGTTAAAAATTGCTGCAAAACATTGTTCATTTATTTAAGATGGGATGATCTATTATGATGTGTCTCTAATTTGTACTTACGTACATTGTATTTTTTCAATTTTTGTAGTTCAATTGTTCACCTATATTGCATATGATCCATTCTTCTACATAATTAAGTTACACTAAAAATTGGTTTATTTGAATAGAGGTTGACCTCATTAATTGGTTCCAGAGGTCACGACTTAGGACGTAAAACGACTTAAGCCGAAATAACCACACTATAAACCGCAAATAAGCACTCCCCCGTTGCATATTACAGTACTTATGATATGTACGTACAGTATTCTTAATAAAATAATTTATCAGCAATATAGTCTTACGCTTAGCATTAGCTATGAAAGAACGGTCTGGCAATGTTTTCCAATATAATCCAGTTTTCGTCAACATTAAAAATCTGTTCAGGAAGAAACCTGTTTTCTTCGATGATCTTAGCTAATGCTTTAGGAAAATCGGCTGCTGTTTGTTCGTCAGCTGATGCACTTTCATCTTGCTTCTTAATAGACTGATAACTTCTTCGTTCTTTAAATCTCATAAAACAGCCTTGACTTGCTTTAAACTCTACATCTTTCTCATCTGGGTATTTTTTTTGTTCAGGTCCTCAAACAAAGACAACGCTTTCACTTGAATGATTTCTTGACTAATAGCAACATCCTGATGATTCAACCTATCAATCCAAAGAGAAAGAAGTTGTTTCATCTCTTTAAAGATTTTTCCTCTTTTCCTATTGGGGCAAAATATAAAGTCACAAATGAATGAGAATGAAAGAGTAGGCGATAAGCAGACATATACCGTACATATACCTAAACTAAACTGGATTTCAATTTCGTGGGAATCACGAGTGGCGTTGACGACGCCGCCAAACGGTAGATATTGGAAATACCATGGAATACGCCAATATTGAGCTCTTAAAGACCGCTAAATAAGACAACACAGTATCACAGATATTTTCATATTTTGTTCTCTGGGATTTACGATGATTATATTAACATTTATTGTAAATGTACTTATTTTAATATAATTTTATGTACTTTTATTCTTATTTATTTTACAGTAACATGGTTTTATGTGCTTTTAATGCTTTTCTTGTGATATTACGACTTCAGTATTTGTGGCGGACAGACGTAAAGTCGAATAAAATGACATAGACTTGATTTTTATTTTTCCATATATTTTTTTGACAAACGACGTATAATCGAGGACAGTTTAACTTGAAACGACGTAACCGGAGATATACTTTTACGACTTTATGAAAGAAAAATCAGAATTCCAAAACATTGATACTAGTCTCCTTAAATCCTGTTCTTTTATTGTCGCATCTGTTTCTTTCATTCTTAGTAACCCTTTTCGTCTTAGAGGCTTTATTGCCTTGCTTGAGGTGATATCATAAAAAAATCACTGAATCCAAAATTTGTATGAGCCACATTGTTTTCCTCATCTATTGTACCTGTCTTTAAGAACACTGAAGACCCTTCTGACCCATCTAACTACCGTCCCATCATCCCCTACCATTCTTCGGCAAAGACTTTGAGGCTTTAATCAACGCCGAAGTGGTTAATCACCTTATATCCCATGATCTGCTCTCTGATAAGCAATATGGTTTTCGATTTCCCCGTTCTACAGCTGATGTGTTCACTGCTGTAACTGAAATTGTTTACCGAGCACTCCACAATAACGGAGAAGCTCGTGCCGTGGCTCTAGATATCTCTAAATAGGGTCTGGCATGCTGGCCTCCTTCGTAAGATTAAGGGATACGGAATTTTAGGTCGATTATTCGACTTAACACGATCATTCCTGTCAAACCGTGTAATGAAGGTCGTCCTTAAATGGATTCTCTTCCAGTTTCTTTCCCACAAACGCAGGTGTTCTCCAAGGTTATATCCTAGGCACTACTTTGTTCCTTATCTTCATTAACGACCTCCCCGATGTCATCAGTTCCCAAGTAGGCATCTATGCGGACGACACTACTATTTACTCCTGCCTCAAAAACAAATCTGGTATCGCTGACAAAACTAAGCTGGCCGTTAGTCTCGAAAAGGACCTTCAATCAGCTGTGGACTGGGGCAGGAATTGGCTGGTTAACTTTAATGCCTCAAAAACAAAACTGCTCTCTATTACTCACCAGAGGGAATCATCCCTGCCTCCCATTAGAATGTCTGGTGCTCAACTCTACGAGAGCACCTCTTTACGACTGCTTGGTCTCACAATGTCCACTGACCTGAGATGGAACAATTACATCGAATCAATAGCTTCATCCACCGCAAGAAAAGTTGGTTCCCTGTGTCACGCCAGAAAGTTTTTTCTCGCCTGAGTCCATCTTTCAAATCTATAAATCAACCATTCTCCCTTGCATGGAATACTGCTGCCATATATGGTCTGGTGTCCCCGCTGTTCGTCTTAAGGTCCTCGACAAAATCCAGATATGCAATGTGATTAACCCTGATCTGGCATCTCGTCTACAGTCGCTCTCTCACAGACATAACGTCGCCTCCCTCTGTCTTTTCTACAAATACTTTCATGATAACTGCCCCGACGAGCTAGTATCGCTAGTTCCCAGACTGCATGAATTTAAGCGTGCTACTAGGCTGGCATCACGGTCCCACCATTTTATTGTTGAAACAGTTAAACGTGGCCGTCTCTTCTACTCCAATAGCTTCATGTCTCGCACCTCTCGCCTGTGGAATTCCCTTCCTATTACTTGTTTCCCTGGTAGCTATAATCTTCAACTATTCAAATGTAATGTCAATCGACATCTCCAGATGCCCTGACCTATTCCCTGCCCTTCTCTTTCAACCTTTCCTCCATCACGCCTCTTTACTCTCGCTCCCACTCTGTAACCCCTTGCATCCCGCCTTGCTTGGGGTGAAATGCTTTAAAAAATTATATACGTTAAGCACTAGTGAATATTAAAGAATGAAACATTTTTTATAGATTTTCACGTCATTCTTGTTTTTTTTTTTTTTGTCCAAATCTGTGAATTCGCAAAAAAATCATTATATCAAATTCACTATTTTTTATCCATGATTCACTCTGTGTCCTCTTGCATCATAATAGCTTTTGCTTTGCTTAGGGTGAAATGATTTTTTATTTTTTTTAAAAAAATGGCACTCCAGTCTCTTTGAAAAGATCTAAATGAAATATCTTTGAATAAATTGCAGGAAATAACCGATAAAGCATCGATCCACTGTTTCATCGAGAGGCGTCCTTACTCTTTACGAAATGTTGTTTCGTCTGACACAAGGCTATAGCGTGGTGATGTATCTAGTGAAGATGAAGCTCTCAACGTTAACTTTGGCCTTAATCGACAAGGCGAACGCTCATTCACAGCAGTGTCACGGTAGGCGACTTAGTTCATTCTTTTTTCGTATTCGTATTTTCCAGGATCTGAAACCTGACGCCATAATGCAGAGTCTTTTTTTTTTTTGGTTTTTCACCTTAAGCTGTTCAATATGGTTAAAAGCGATGGTGAAGACTCATTACTGACCATTAGGTGGCTGGAAGTGAACAAGAAACCGCGGTGGTGCGTATTTATAATTCAAGATTAATTCGTAATAGTGATGTTTGGGGCTGGTCTTGTATTCGCTTGGATTGGTTATCATGGGAGGTAATTGCATTGCTAAAAGAGTCAGAAGGGAACGAAAAGGCCAGATGATGTTCGGGAAGGGGAAAAAAAAAAAGAGATCGAGAAGCAAGGGAAGTCAACAAGAGAGACAGACAGACAGAGACAGAGACAAAGAGAAACAGAGAGAGAGAGAGAGGCAAAGGAAGTGAAGCAGAAAGAGAGAAACAAAGGAAGTGAACGAGAGAATGAGAGAGAGAAAGGGGAGGGAGAGAAGCAAAGGAAGTGAACCAGAGAAAGAGTGAGGCAAAGGAAGTGAATCAGAGAGATAGGCAAAGGTAGTGAACCAGAGAGAGAGAGAGAGAGAGAGGGGGGGGTAAAGAAAGTGAATCAGAGAGAGAGAAAAGAGAGTGAGAGAAATAGACAAAGGAAATGAACCAGAGAGAGAGAGGGAATAGAGAGAGAGAGAGATAGGCAAAGGAAGTTACCCAGAGAGAGAGAGAAAGAGAGAGAGAGAGATAAAGAGAAAGAGAGAGAGAGAGAGAGAGAGGCAGGTCAAATTGAAAGAGGAAACAAGATATCACTAAGAAAGAGGGTGAGGGGGGAGGAGAAGGAAGAAAAACGTAAGAATGAGAAAGAACTGAAAAATGTGGAAAGAAAGAAAGAATAATAATAAAGAAGGCATTAAAGAAGGAAGGAAAAGAAAGAAGAAAAAAAGAAAGAAAGAAAGAAAGAAAGAAAGAAGGAAAGAATTACGAAAGAAAGAAAGAAAGAAAGAAAGAAAGAAAGAAAATAAATTATGTAGAGACTTAAGAAGGAAGGAAAAGAAGGAAAGAATTAAGGAAGGTAATAACGGAAGGAAGGAAGGAAGGAAATGAAGAAAGATTATGAAGAAAGAAGGAATGATCATGAGAAAGAAAGAAGGAAATAGATAAGTCCGGAAGGAAATGTTATTTGGGAAGGTAGAATGAAAGAAAAGAAAGGAAGTAACAAAGCAAGTTAAGACTGAAGGAAGAATATAAAGAACAAATGAATGAATTAATGAAGGAAATAACGAAGTAACTTAGGAAGGAATGTTATGATGAAGAAAAGAACGATTGAAAGAAGAAAGGGAAATATTAGACATAGAAAAAAGAAGAAAAAGGAAGAAACCTCCAATTTTGAATGATTAGAAAGAATGAAAATAAATCTTACAATCTTAAGTGAAACAAAAAAAACATAAACTCTTAAATATTAAAAAGAAAAAAGGAAATAAAAAATGCAAAGCTGGCTGTAATTTAGAAAGAAAGAAGGAAAGAAAGAAAAGCGTTGAATGCTTAAATATTAAAAGGAAATAAAAAATCAAACATGGCTGAAATTTGGAAAAGAATGAAAGAAGCAAGGAAGGATAAGAATGCTTAAATATTAAACTGAAAGAAAAACAGCAAAGATGGCAGAAATTTAGAAAGAAAGAAAGAAAGAAAGAAAGAAAGAAAAGAAAGAAAAGAAGGAAAGAAAAATGCTTAAATATTGAAAGGAAAGAAAAAAGGCAAAGATAGCTGAAATTTAGAAAGAAAGAAAGAAAGAAAAGAAAGAAAAGAAGGAAAGAAAAATGCTTAAATATTGAAAGGAAAGAAAAAAGGCAAAGATAGCTGAAATTTAAAAAGAAAAGAAAGAAAGAAAGAAAGAAAGAAAAGAAAAGAAAAGAAGGAAAGAAAATGCTTAAATATTGAAAGGAAAGAAAAAGGCAAAGATAGCTGAAATTTAGAAAGAAAGAAAGAAAGAAAGAAAGAAAAGAAAAGAAGGAAAGAAAAAAATGCTTAAATATTGAAAGGAAAGAAAAAAGGCAAGAAATTTAGAAATTTAGAAAAAAGAAAGAAAGAAAAGAAAGAAAAGAAGGAAAGAAAAATGAAGGAAAGGAAAAAAAGGCAAAGATGCTGAAATTTAGAAAGAAAGAAAGAAAGAAAGAAAGAAAAGAAAGAAAAAGAAGGAAAGAAAAATGCTTAAATATTGAAAGGAAAGAAAAAGGCAAAGATAGCTGAAATTTAGAAAGAAAGAAAGAAAGAAAAAGTAAGAAAGAAAGAAAAGAAAGAAAAGAAGGAAAGAAAATGCTTAATATTGAAAGGAAAGAAAAAAGGCAGATAGCTGAAATTTAGAAAGAAAGAAAGAAAGAAAAGAAAGAAAAGAAAGAAAGAAGGAAAGAAAAATGCTTAAATATTGAAAGGAAAGAAAAAAGGCAAAGATAGCTGAAATTTAGAAAGAAAGAAAGAAAGAAAGAAAAGAAAGAAAAGAAGGAAAGAAAAATGCTTAAATATTGAAAGGAAAGAAAAAAGGCAAAGATAGCTGAAATTTAGAAAGAAAAGAAAAGAAAGAAAAGTAAGAAAGAAAGAAAAGAAAGAAAAAAGAAGGAAAGAAAAATGCTTAAATATTGAAAGGAAAGAAAAAAAAGGGCAAAAGATAGCTGAAATTTAGAAAGAAAGAAAGAAAGAAAAGAAAAGAAAGAAAAGAAGGAAAGAAAATGCTTAAATATTGAAAGGAAAGAAAAAGGCAAAGATGGCAGAAATTTAGAAAGAAAGAAAGAAAGAAAGAAAGAAAAGAAAAAGAAAAGAAATATTGAAAGGAAAATGCTTAAAAATTGAAAGGAAAGAAAAAAGGCAAAAAAAGATAGCTGAAAGAAAAAGAAAGAAAGAAAGAAAGAAAAAGAAAAGAAAAGAAAGAAAAAAAGAAAAAAGAAAAAAAAGAAGGAAAGAAAAATGCTTAAATATTGAAAAGGAAAGAAAAAGGCAAAAGATAGCTGAAATTTAGAAAAGAAAGAAAGAAAGAAAAGAAAAGAAAAAAAAAGAAAGAAAAAAATGAAAGAAAATGCTAAATATTGAAAGGAAAGAAAAAAGGCAAAAGATAGCTGAAATTTAGAAAGAAAGAAAGAAAGAAAGAAAGAAAGAAAGAAAAGAAAGAAAAGAAGGAAAGAAAATGCTTAAATATTGAAAGGAAAGAAAAAGGCAAAGATAGCTGAAATTTAGAAAGAAAGAAAGAAAGAAAGTAAGAAAGAAAGAAAAGAAGGAAAGAAAAATGCTTAAATATTGAAAGGAAAGAAAAAAGGCAAAGATAGCTGAAATTTAGAAAGAAAGAAAGAAAGAAAGAAAAGAAAGAAAAGAAGGAAAGAAAAAAAATGCTTAAATATTGAAAGGAAAGAAAAAGGCAAAGATAGCTGAAATTTAGAAAGAAAGAAAAGAAAGAAAAAAGAAAGAAAGAAAGAAAAAAGAAAAGAAGGAAAGAAAAAAGCTTAAATATTGAAAAGGAAAGAAAAAAAGGCAAAAGATAGCTGAAATTTAAGAAAGAAAGAAAGAAAGAAAGAAAAGAAAGAAAAAGAAAGAAAGTAAGAAAAGAAAGAAAAATGAAAGAAGAAAAGAAATATTGAAAGGAAAGAAAAAAAGGCAAAGATAGCTGAAATTTAGAAAGAAAGAAAGAAAAGAAAGAAAGAAAGAAAAGAAAGAAAAGAAGGAAAGAAAATGCTTAAATATTGAAAGGAAAGAAAAAGGCAAAGATAGCTGAAATTTAGAAAGAAAGAAAGAAAGAAAGAAAGAAAAGAAAAGAAAGAAAAAAGAAAATGAAATATTGAAAGGAAAGAAAGGCAAAAGATAGCTGAAATTTAGAAAGAAAAGAAAGAAAAAAAGTAAGAAAAGAAAGGAAAGAAAAAAAGGACAGAAAAATGCTTAAATATTGAAAGGAAAGAAAAAAGGCAAAGATTGCTGAAATTTAGAAAGAAAGAAAGAAAGAAAGAAAAGAAAGAAAAGAAGGAAAGAAAAATGCTTAAATATTGAAAGGAAAGAAAAAAGGCAAAGATAGCTGAAATTTAGAAAGAAAGAAAGAAAGAAAGTAAGAAAGAAAGAAAAGAAAGAAAAGAAGGAAAGAAAAATGCTTAAATATTGAAAGGAAAGAAAAAAGGCAAAGATAGCTGAAATTTAGAAAGAAAGAAAGAAAGAAAGAAAGAAAAGAAAGAAAAGAAGGAAAGAAAAATGCTTAAATATTGAAAGGAAAGAAAAAAGGCAAAGATAGCTGAAATTTAGAAAGAAAGAAAGAAAGAAAGAAAGAAAGAGAAAGAAAGAAAAGAAAGAAAAGAAGGAAAAGAAAATGCTTAAATATTGAAAGGAAAGAAAAAAGGCAAAGATAGCTGAAATTTAGGAAAGAAAGAAAGAAAGAAAGAAAGAAAAGAAAGAAAAGAAAGAAAGAAAAGAAAAAAAAATGCTTAAATATTGAAAGGAAAGAAAAAGGCAAAGATAGCTGAAATTTAGAAAGAAAGAAAGAAAGAAAGAAAGAAAAAGAAAAGAAAGAAAAGAAGGAAAGAAAAATGCTTAAATATTGAAAGGAAAGAAAAAGGCAAAGATAGCTGAAATTTAGAAAGAAAGAAAGAAAGAAAGAAAGAAAGAAAGAAAAGAAGGAAAAAGAAAAGAAAATAAAAGGAAAGAAAAAGGCAATGAAAATGAAATTTAAAAAGAAAGAAAGGAAAGAAAAAAAGAAAGAAAAGAAGGAAAGAAAAAAGAAATTTAAAGAAAGAAAAAAAGAAAAAGAAAATTAAAAGAAAAAAAGAAAGAAAAGAAAAAAAGAAGAAAAAGAAAAAGAAAAAATTGAAAGGAAAGAAAAAAGGCAAAGATAGCTGAAATTTAGAAAGAAAGAAAGAAAGAAAAAGAAAGAAAAGAAAGAAAAGAAGGAAAGAAAAATGCTTAAATATTGAAAGGAAAGAAAAAGGCAAAGATAGCTGAAATTTAGAAAGAAAGAAAGAAAGAAAGAAAGAAAAGAAAAGAAAGAAAGAAGGAAAGAAAATGCTTAAATATTGAAAGGAAAGAAAAAAAAGGCAAAGATAGCTGAAATTTAGAAAGAAAGAAAGAAAGAAAGAAAAGAAAGAAAAGAAGGAAAAGAAAAAAAATGCTTAAATATTGAAAGGAAAGAAAAAAGGCAAAGATAGCTGAAATTTAGAAAGAAAGAAAGAAAGAAAGAAAGAAAAGAAAGAAAAGAAGGAAAGAAAAATGCTTAAATATTGAAAGGAAAGAAAAAAGGCAAAGATAGCTGAAATTTAGAAAGAAAGAAAGAAAGAAGAAAGAAAGAAAAGAAAGAAAAAAGAAAGAAAAGAAAGGAAAGAAAATGCTTAAATATTGAAAGGAAAGAAAAAAAAGAAAGGCAAAAGATAAAGCTGAAATTTAGAAAGAAAGAAAAAAGAAAGAAAAGAAAAGAAAAAGAAAAGAAAGAAAAAATGCTTAAATATTGAAAGGAAAGAAAAAAAAAAGAAAGATAGCTGAAATTTAGAAAGAAAGAAAGAAAGAAAGCAAGAAAAAAGAAAGAAAAAAAAAGAAAAGAAGGACAGAAAATGCTTAAATATTGAAAGGAAAGAAAAAAGGCAAAGATAGCTAAAATTTAGAAAGAAAAGAAAGAAAGAAAGAAAAGAAAGAAAAGGAAGGAAAAGAAGAAAAAAATGCTTAAATATTGAAAGGAAAGAAAAAGGCAAAAGATAGCAGAAATTTAGAAAGAAAAGAAAGAAAGAAAGAAAGAAAGAAAGAAAAAAAGAAATGAAATATTGAAAGGAAAGAAAAAGGCAAAAATATTAGAAAGAAAGAAAGAAAGAAAGAAAAGAAAAGAAAAGAAGGAAAGAAAAAATGAAATTTAGAAAAAGAAAGAAAAGAAAGAAAGCTGAAATTTAAAAGAAAGAAAAAAGAAAAGAAGGAAAAAGAAAAATGCTTAAATATTGAAAGGAAAAAAAGGCAAAGATAGCTGAAATTTAGAAAGAAAGAAAGAAAGAAAAAAAAAGAAAGAAAAGAAAGAAAAGAAAGAAAAGAAATGCTTAAATATTGGAAAGAAAAATGCAAGAAGAAATATTGAAAGAAAGAAAAAAAAAAAGAAAAGAAAAAGAAGGAAAAGAGGAAATGCTTAACATTGAAAGGAAAGAAAAAGGCAAAGAAAGAAAGAAAGAAAAGAAAAGAAAGAAAAAAGAAAGAAAAGAAGGAAAGAAAAAATGCTTAAATATTGAAAGGAAAGAAAAAGGCAAAAGATAGCTGAAATTTAGAAAGAAAGAAAAGAAAGAAAAGAAAAGAAAGAAAAAAAGGAAAGAAAAATGCTTAAATATTGAAAGGAAAGAAAAAGGCAAAGATAGCAGAA